AAAAAACACCTGTTCCACTTTGAATGCCAAACCAAAGCAAAACCCTCTGTGTGAAAGCAACCTGTTTTAATGTCAAGACTGAAACAACACACTCAAAAATCTAAGCTAGGGGCTCTTGGTTTTGTTAAATCAAGATGCAGGTAGATAACCTCCAGCCCACTTTTCAATGATTGGACCATCATCATTGTCAAACCAGTCCCTCTCCCCCCAAAGGTTTCATCTTCAATTTTTCAAAGGCACTGAAGTATCGATATATTGATATAACATTGTAATGATGGAGTTAGCAGGTTCTCTAAATTCCCAGCTTTTACATTAAAAAGTAAGTCTTTAGTCTTTTCCCTAGCAAAGATACAAGGGAAAAAAGCATACTTCCACAAGAAGAGATGATAGAGACTTAGTTTTGTTTTGTTTTAAATGAAAGCTGGGAATTCAAAGAACCTGCTTAACCTATCATTACAATGCTATATCAATATTTTAGTGCCTTCTCTTTTAAAATGCAGCCGTTATATCAATATATTAATATAAGCATGCACAAAAAATTAAAAGGGGTGTTGTGATGCCACTGATGATGACAGCTCTCTCCGTTGAAAATCCCGATTATTTAAGCCATATGTAAAGTAAAGGTAAAGGTTCCCTTGCTCGAAAGCCAGTCGAGTCCAACTCTAGGGTTGCGGTGCTCATCTCAGTTTCAAAGCCGAAGACATTTCCGTGGTCATGTGGCCGGCATGACTAAACACCGAGGTGCACGGAATGCTGTTACCTTCCCACTGAAGTGGTACCTATTTATCCACTTGCAATTTCTTGCTTTCGAACTGCTAGGTTGGCAGGAGCTGGAACTAGAGATGGGAGCTCACTCCATCATGCGGCACCCGGGTCTCAAACTGCTGAACTACTGACCTTCCACAGCCTGCAGTTCAGCGTCATAACCACTTGAGCCACCACAGCTCAAGTGGTTAACAATAAATGGACTCCAGACCTGTAAAAATGCAGAGGGAGGGCAGATGTGTGGAAGAACGGTGTCCAAACTGATTCCAATGCTTGTAGATCGACTGCCAAGAAATTCAGGAGTAAGTCGAGCATGCAGAAAAGCCCTAAGTACTCCCACTCTTCTCACTAACAGCTATTTGAATATACTGTCAAAAATACTACTGCTGTGATGAATTAGGGCTGTCCCCCTAATCTGATGGCAGAGCACACACATGAGACATCTGTAAATCTATCTAGAAGTTTAGACATTGAGCAAGTTGGCAAAGGAAATTGCTGAGATGGCACAAAAGGTAAAGAGAGACCAAATGTGGCATCTGGATAAAAATGTTTCAGTTGGGCAAGTGTAAAAGAAAACAAGCTGTGCTACAATGAATGGAAATGAAATACTAGAGCTTCTCATTCCTTTGCTGTATCGCTACACAAGGCATATAGGGAACAATCTGGTCATGGTACACAAGCAGCTATATCATTTTCAGCTTTTTGGAGATGAGAGTAAAGGTTTAGCTTTAGTATACTCCTGATTCAAAAGTTTCAGGATGGTATTCTTTTCATAATCTTACAGTACCCCCCTGAGCAGAGTTATACCCTTCTAAGTCCGTTGAAGTCAGTGGGCTTAGAAGGGTATAAACTCTGCTTTAGGACTGCACTTAGCACTGACTGGTTTTCAAGCCAATAGTCTATCTACCCCTGTACTTTCATGTGGTTGCGTTACTACCATTAACATGCCAGAGCTTTTGGCTCTGGGTTCTTCTGATCAGAATGAAACATGATGATACCCCAGTCCTAGAGAATCATGCAAACCATTTACCAGCCTACAAAAACATCTGCTGGTTCACTCATGGCTACCTCTGCATCATAAGGCAATTTGATTGGTGCATTAAGTAAGTGACACATTTACTTAAGATAGACTTCCTGCTTGCTTGGGACAAGTAGCTAGCTGCAAGTCTGAACACAGAAAACATGCCACTATCCAGCCTCCTTGGACCTGGATTTAGAACTCACATGCTATCCTAGTACCATCCTAGTCATTAAGTGAAATCACCACATGGTGGCACCAGAAGAGCAATAATGATGAGTCAGATTACCAAACTTGTTTCTTAGGGATAACCTCCTAGCAACCATCACAGTTAAAGGCTGTATGTCTTCAGCTTTTATAAAGAGGCATCACGCCCTGCAATCTTTGCACCCCCACTGGCCTTTACAAGAGAAAAATCTATAGTAACATTCAAAACCTGTTTTTTAGACTTCTGAATTTTTCTTATAGGGAACTGGAAAGAGCCAGACATATTTTGTCCCCTTTGAACAACGTTCTGTAATCAAGTCCAGGAGGAGAATATTTAGCAATGTTGTCGGCATTGCACCTTTTATTTTTACCCACGTGCAGCCCGTATCCCATGTATGATCTAGTGCAGAATGTGATTTATTTATTTTTCGTTTTAAAAGGACAATTTCTAGTGATTGTGGAGAAAAGGCTGGAAGGTGCAGACGTCTCCTGGTGGTCCAGTAAAACAGATGAGACTAGGTGCAGGGCTTCCAGTCGGTTTCAGGTTAGCATTCACAGGTGCTGAAAAGGATCCCACGTCCAGCCTCTCATGAGGCTGCCAGCCCCTCCCCCTGCACTACCAGATGCATCCTCCTCTGTGCACCAGGGTGGGCAGAGGGGATCACGGGTGACTGCTGCAGCCGGCAGTAGCAATGCAAATTAAAATAGTTCTTTTCCTCCTCCCCAGGGAGTTACTGATATGCCCATTGGTAGCCATGTAGTCATCCCCCCCAAAACACACACATTTGTTTTATTCCTTGCCCTCCAAAGATCTTCCAGCATCAAAGAGGGTAAGAGACCAGGGGAGGTTCTAGTTGGGTTTGTGGAGATGAATAAATGCTACTGCCGCCACCAGTACAATACTAAAGCAGGTGAAAATACTTCACACACACAATGAGCTGACTTTTAATTTTTCCCTTGGTAGTTGCACACTCCCATCCACCACAGGCCTTGGGTGGCAATGGGATATGGAGAACTCTCCCCAAAGGGTGGGGAGAGACGTGGCGCCTTCCCCCTTGGTCCATCTTTCCTCCCCCTCCATAGCACCATGTGGGTTATGTACTTGATTTTTTTTTCAGCCACAACAGACAGCCCCATTCCAGTCATGGGGCAGGAAATTATGGGACAGCGCTTTGCATACAGACAGTTCCAGGTTCAGTCCCTGGCATCTCCAAGTAAAGGATCTCAGGTAGCAGGAAAGGCTCCTCTGTGTCTGGAACACTGGGAAACTGCTGCCAGTCAGAGCTGGACTGAGCCAGATGGACCAGTGGTCTGACTTCATCAGTAGGAGTATCTGGTGAGGACCAGCACTTGTTTTTGCAAGGAGGGAGGTGAGATGTACCAATGGACTTAATTTCTCTCATTTTGCTTTGCCCTTTTGCTGGCAGGAAAAAAAACCCAACTAAAAGCTTTTCAAAATGAAATAAGCATAGGCCTTCATGAACTGCATAGCCTCTGATACCAGTTTACCCAGTATAGTACCTGAGCTTGAGTTCATTTACTGGTGATACTGATTCCAATATCAGGGTTAGTACTAAAGTGAAATGGGAAGGATATTCACAAACAGTCACATACACACACACAAAATATTCCGCACCGTTTGGCTAATTTTTTAAATGGGAGTTCAAAAGAAGTATTTGCTGCCCTTCCCCAGGGTTATATACATCAGTGTTTCCCAATATGCAGGTTAGGACCCAAAAGTGGGTCATGAAGCCTCTGAAAGTGGGTCATGGGCTGGCCCTCCCTAATGGCCACCCATGCCCTTTCCATTGTTGTATTCTGTATTTTGGAAACTAAGAACTGGCCCTGGAAACAGGATCTTCCATGTCATACATTTTACTTGATCAAGTAAAATGTGTTCTTATGGTTGCTAGACTGTGTTTCTTAGACCCTTGGGGGATTACAAGGAGTCATGGATAAGGAGAGGGTGGTCAAAGGTTGTAATGTAACCTCCATGTGCAAAGGTTGTGTATGTTGGGATGACACTTGCGTGGGGTTCATAGTGAGAGCAGTGGCACACCTTTCTGTGATATTTGCTGGTTTCTCAAAAATTTCTCGTTAGCCACTATAGCAAGGGGGATACTGAACTAGATGGATGCCAAGGTCATTGTTTGCCTAGGGTGTAAAAAAACCCTTTGGGCCAGCCCTGGATGGGTCACCACACCAAACACATTTGGACTTGTGGGTCACCATACCAAAAGGCTGGGAATTGCTGATATACATAAAGGCCAGTTTGGCCGGAGATCCTGGAGGTTTTTTTATCATCTTCAGGGTGTGGAACAGCGGTCAGTGGGTGCATGGGGGGGAGGTAATTGTGAATTTCCTGCATTGTGCAGGGGGTTGGACTAGATGACCCTGGAGGTCCCTTCCAACTCTACGATTCCATGATTCTAAACCTTCAGCATTCCCCTTCTTGATACTTGATTGGCTGCTGCTTCAGGCACCATGTTTTAGAAATCAGTTCCTACTAGAGAGTGAGATCCTCATGTAGCCTCGATTTAGCTGGGTGGCAATTCCAGTAAGTACCACTAAAACATGCAAGAAATACCTTCAGTGTTGCATAGTTTTGTATGAGGTCATCAACTAAGAAACCTAACTGGCTATGTGACTATTTCACTATTACTAGAAAAAAAGCAAAAAAAAATAATTTAAAACACTGAAATAGCTAGCTAGAGCTACAAACAGCTGAAAAGTATTTTAACAAAGTAAAGTTTGGGGTATGCAAAGAAAATATGTTTCTCCTCTCCAAAACAACTATGCCATAATCTGAACCCTGAGAAAATTCAGGGCAGCACTAATATAGGGTATTGATGTTGCCTCAGGGTCCCTACGGAAAAAGCCAACCCTGGAAATGATCTGTTTTTATTCACTTAGTTGACTCTTCACCATTCTACCACTGCCTTCCCCCCTCCATGGCATCCCAGTATATTGGAAGTCGTGGAACTGATTATTGGCAGGGATGCCCCCGGAATGAAGAATAAGTGCTTTACTTCTTATTTTCTGAATGGAAAGTAGACAGTCTGCATAAGTAATTACAGCTGGACTTGTACCAGTAATGTTAAACCAATGTTGTTTCCCCTTTTATTTGCTCTCCCTTCCAATGGCTCCGTGTAGAGATTCTATCCAGATGAGAACATGAAATGTCCACCTTCAGGTTCTTCCAAAGACAAGGGAATATGCCGCTTGAAATCCTATTATTTCAGAGTAGTAGTCACAAGGTGCGTAGTTTTCACACTGCTCATGCTTCATCTCCATTGGGGACTTAAACGTTTCGTAGTACCTGCAACACAGGGAATGGAATCGCTTATCTACCCTGGAACTCTGTATGGTGGCCATAATTGTTAAACTACTCTGACAAGCCATACGTGTCTGTCCAAACATATGCAGCATCTCCATGCCTACACAACACATCCCTCCCATCTGCTGGCCCCCTTGTGGAGATGCTGAACACTCTTGGCTAATGCAAAGAGTTCTTTAAATGTGACACCAGCTACCCCAGGTACTTGGATACCTCTAGATGGGAGAAGTAATGTTTAAATCTACCCTCAGCTAGAGATAATGGTTATTAAGGAAGAGAAGTGTGTTTCCTTCCACTATGTCTCCTCCAGCCTCCTGTTTCTTCTCCTGGTTAGTCTGTGGAGTGGTGTGTGCAATGAATCTGCAGAGTGATATGTGCAAGCGCATCTCAGTGTTTCCCACAGTCTGTGCCGTCTTCTGATTAGACATTATGGATATCAACATTAAACCTTGGAGACTCTTACCTTTCATAATATGGATAGGATCTCTTCTGCCTCCTCACAAAGGCTTCGGCTGTTTTCTTATTTATCTTAATTCCTGTTGCAAAAATAACATGCCACAGTATGAGACTAATAGCCAAACAGTTCAACCAAAGTGGGGGGAAAAACCCTCTAATAACCAGCTAATTCTGAAACTCAAATGTGTATTTTATGGAGTCAGTAGGCTGGTTACTGTATGCAGCTGCTGACACACACTCCTCTTGCAGCAGGATCCCCACGTACCACTGGCTGAGCTCACCAGTGCAGCCACTGCGAAAAGAGAAGAGCTCCCACACTTTTGTCATTCTGCTAACCAGGGATCATTTGGTAGAAAAAGAGGTGCAGGAGCTCATTAGAATAACTCATTAGCATAACTTATTTGCATATGCCACACCCCCTGACATCACCGGAAGTGTGTCAGAAGGCAACACCCACCACTCAGGCTCCACTGGACTGTTTTGGATTGCTAGCTATTGGGGGGGGGGGAATGTGCAGATCTGCCATCACAGAGGAGAGAGAACTTGTACCTGAGTCAAACTTAGTCTTAAAGGTGCCACTGGACTGTTTTGGATTGCTAGCTATGGGGGGAAGGGAACGTGCATCTGCCCTCACAGGTGTGGGGCTGTGACGCGGGGGCGGGGGGGGGGGGTGGCCCTCTGCAACTTACCTGGCTGCTTCTTGCTTCTTGTGGCCTGACTGAGGGCTGCTGAGAGCAGGGGGTGGGGCTTGTTGCATGTGCCCGGCCCCCTGGGCTCCTTACTGCCGGAGCTCCGCTCCTGTTCACTCCCGCAGGAAATGACCCCTGCTGCTAACTATGTAAAACAGAATGCTTCAAGAGAGCATTTTAATAAAGCTACAGGGCTATAGGATAATGGAATGGTTTGGGAAGGAGCTTTTTAAAAATGAACAGGACTGTGGACTGTATCACAGTATGTACTGTTTCCTGTATATATTCTCTTGCTCTTACTGCACTGCTTTCTACCTTTGTATTATCATTTTATGCATTGTTTGACATACCGTGTGTAATTATTTTTGCTCTTTTTCAAATTGCTATAATCCTAGTCTTATTGCATTGTTTATTAGATTCTCATGTGAATTATTGCATTGACTTACACTGTGTAATCCATTTTCGGTCTTAGACTATGTATAAAGTAAATAAAATAAATAAAGTGCACAGGATCAGGCTGTGGTAGGGTTCTTTTCTACATGAACAAATATAGGGTCAAGCAGCAGTGATCCCTGAGGTACCCACAGGTGGGATCCTTTCCCAGCAACTTTCCATCTTCAGAGTAAATGCCACAACCCTCCCCTATGAATGAGATTCCTGCGGGTTAGCATATATTAGCAAAAGAAGATTTGTGCTCACTTACCTCTGGACCTAAATTTCTTATTATTTGTCTCCTGCTCTGTCAAAAATAATTTCCCCAGCAATGAGAGTTCTGCAGGACTATTGTGAAACACTGTCCTGTTCTCTCTTTTTCTTTACTTTCTTTGGAGTCTGCTACAACACCTTTTTTATCCTTTCATTCCTTAATCTCTCTCTCTGCTTTACTCCAACATGATTTCACTCCTCCCACCCTTGCAGGCTTTTAAAATGAGGACTCTTCAGCCCTGCTAACTGCTAATTCTGTTCTAGCCAATTGCATAGCGAATTCACCCTTGGAAGATTTATGACAGGATCTACCCTTTTTACCTCAGCTCCTTCCTTTTTTACATAGAAAACTTATGCCTGAAAGACGTGTGACAGATTTCACACCAACCCCTAATGCTGATTGGAGGGGCATGACAAATGATTGATGGGGCACCGCCTCTTTTTTTGCACACTGTGGCTACAGGCCTGCAGCAGGATAGCGTGAAGTGGTGTTTCCAGGGCAACAGAGGGAGAGCTCCACCTTTTTCTAGACCTGAAGGCTGCATTTTAAATAGCCCAGCTCCCCTCCCCCCAAAACAAGCAAACCTGTACAGGCTTACTGAGCAGTGTTCCCTCTAAGCTGAGTTAGTGTGAGCTAGCTCACGGTTTTTTAGCCTCCGGCTCACACATTTTTGTCTTAGTTCAGGAAGGATGGCTCCAGAGCAAACTAATTTATGCAGTAGCCAAATCGCTCACTCACAGCTTTAATGCCAGTAGCTCACAAAGTAGAATTTTTGCTCACAAGACTCCACAGCTTAGAGGGAATATTGTTACTGAGACCTCTATTAGAGCAGGAGGGGGAAGAAGGATCATTAGGTTGCAAGCTCTGGGTTGGGAGATACCTAGAGATCTGATGGGTGGAGTTGGGGGAGGGGAGGGAGGGAGGGGAGGTATATTGTCATAGAGCCTACCTTCAATGTGGCCATTTTCTCCAAGTGAACTGATCTCTGCTGCCCGGAGATCACTTGTAATAGTGGGAGATCTCCAGCCACCACCTGGAGGTTGGCAACTCTAAGGACCATGCTTCTCTTTCAGTCACACATGCAATGTCCCTCCTGTCTTAACTTCCAAGTCTTTAATTCCTAGCTATGGGAAGCCCCCCTCCCGCCCCCTTGATTTGAAAGTCAGTGTTCCAGTAGCCAGGATCCTTTCTGATTTTCCACTTCAGAAAATCAGGGACCATGTTTGTGTGTGAGTGAAAAGACAGACAAGTGTAGAGGCAAATCCCCCCCCCCTCGGTAATTTACTAATCCCTTTTAGCAGGGCTTTTTTTTGTAGAAAAAGCCCAGCAGGAACACATTAGCATATTAGGCCACACCCCTGACAGCACAGCTCATTACCATATTAGGCTGCACCTCTATGTTACCAGAAGTGTGGTCATCCAGCCACACGCACCTTTTCCTTCTTATTCTGTTTACCTTGTTTGTTGTCAAAACCCAGGGCTTTTTTTGTAGCAGGAACTCCTTTGCCTGTTAGGCCACACACCCCTAATATAGCCAGTCCTAATGAGTTTCTGCTGTTGGGTGTGGGCTATTATGCTAATGAGTTCCTGCTGGGCGTTGCCAACTCAGGAGCCAGCCAGAAGTGTTCCTGCCCAAAAATAGCCCTACCTCTCAGTCTGATCAGATAAGAGCTGTCTATTAGCAGTCAGCACGTTGAAGAGAAAAAAAGAAGTCCAACAGCTAAGCATACCACCCTACTGTAAGACAAGACCCCCCTGTTGGCAGAGTAATTAACCTGATTAAAGAGTAGATAAAGGTTTATTTAGGAATTAATATACTTGATAGGAAAGAGGAGAGACAGAGATATGTTCCTAACTATATCTCTATATGAGAGAGAGGATAAGACTGAATAGAAGGGGGAAATTGCCCTGAGAGTAGCAATCTGGAGATAGACAAGGAATGACACTTGACAGGAGAAAAGGTTTTGACCTCACTATCCTATCTGATTGTCTTCTTGCTGCCCCCTGCAGGGTCTTCTTCTCTTCTTCTTTGTACACCAGAATATTGTCTATTTCAACACACCCACCCCCTCATTTTAAGGTAATCTGCTACAGCAGTATATCAACAAGCCACTAGGGTTTTGTTTTTTTTAAGAGGGAGGGTACTGCAGAGCAATTTATTTATTTATTTTATTTAGAGCAATGATGGTAAATGCTGCTGGGGGGGGGGGTATAATGTAGTTAAAAAGCCCAAATGGGAATAAAAGCTCCATGTAGAAATGATCTAAGAGAGAGAGAAATCACATGTTGCCCTCTTGGAAACCGGAAAAAGAAAGCAGGAGGAGGAGCAGGCAGAAGGAAGAAAGCCCCTAAGAAGAGCAATCTAGGTAATAAAAGGATAGCAGCAGAACCGACGAGAAAAGCAGACAAGGGTTTGATCTGTCCGCCTTGCTAGCTCTATTCTCCCCACTCTGCTGCAGCACTGGTTTGCTTGCTGCACAGAGATGTTGCCGAGGGCTCAGTATTGGGTGTGGGCTGAGGAAATCTGTCATCCAGGTAGCTCACTGGGTGAGCTTAGGCTAGTCATCCTAATACACTCAGGTGGTTAACTCCATGGACCTGAGTTGTTCGTGGAAAGGAGAGATGCAAATGTGACAGGGACATTAGTCAGGAGAAGGAGTTATTTCTCGCCATTCTCTTTTTCAGTGGGAGCCTCATGTTCCTATCTGCAAGTCACATGCTTCCCACCTTACCCCAGTGCCAGTTGACTTGGTTTTCCTTCCAGGAGACGGTTCTCATTCATTCAAGCCAACAAAGCAGTGTCTTCTTCATCACAGTACTAATATTCGCAAATGGTTGTAATTTGAGGGGGGAGAAAACAGTTTCACCAGTACAATGAAAAATGTTGAAGGGAAATTTAAATTCACGTTTTGGGTGTGAAATTTGAACACTTTATTGGCCTCCCTGGCACTTTTGGCTTTGGCAGACTCTGAATGCAAAATCTTAGAAGCTGCCAGCTTTCAAAATCCTATTCCTATTGCATGTAATCTATCAAAACACTGTAAGATGCAAGCACTATTATATATCAGCTCAAAGTACTATCTGATGGTAAATGCCGTTGATATGACAACTGTCAAATACTGTGGATTCAGAATGATACACTTTAGGGGTAGAGTCAATAGAAGATGCTGAACTTGCCAAGTCCCTCATTGCCCCACTTCGTTTAAGACAGAGGGACCTGGCCTTGAATGACCTCAGCTTACCTGCGCCTCTGCACCTGCCTAACACTTTGCCATTCTCACCTCTGTTTTGAAATCCAGATTGTCTGTCTCTCAGGCGAAATGCCATTATTTCCACGTGATTATCTAAGTCCCTGAATTTGCTTCTTTTGCTCTTCCTTTTCATTTCCCTTTTGCTTTTTGTGCTGTGTGTATATCATATTGTAGGTGTTATTTTGAATTGTGAACCACCTTGAATGCAGTGGCAGGAAGGCAGTATATAAATGCATCCCAGTAAATAAGAATACATAAAGGTGCTCTCTACAGCATCTAACAGACCACTGGAGATGTTCCCTTGTCCAAGCCTATGGAAATGGGTCTTAAACCAGTCTGTCTGTGCCTGGGAAAAATGTCTTTCCTAGACCAGCAGGCAAGAGACTGCCCAGTGTGTCTGGCTAACAGGGGGCTTATTCACTGGGGGACTAATTGGCAAACTGCGTTCATGCCAGGTCTCTTATAACATGTAAACAGATTTAAAAATTATTTTAAGCAGTGCCAGAAATCACAGGCCTCCTTGTAGAGTTCCTCCATTTTGTTTGGCTCACAGAGGAAATTCCAGAATGAGCTTCAATAGGAATATTATTTGTCAGACTTTGCCTCCACATGTGAGGTCAGAGGAATTCCAGAGGTCCAAAAGGGATTTTTGCCCTGATGGAGTTCCTGCAAGGATTGGGAGAGGGAGAGCAAAAGCCCTAAACAATGTTCCCTCCATATACTGAAGAAAGTAGATATGGCCTCTCTATAAAACCAGCATGAGAGGCAGCCGGATATAATTGTTAGTGAGTCAGACTAGGATCTGGGGAACCCGGGTTCAAATCCCCACTCTGCCACGGAAGCTTGCTGGGTGACCTTCGGCCAATCACACACTCTCAGCCTAACCTACCCTCACAGTGTTGTTATGAGGATAAAATAAAGGCGAGGAGAATGATGTAAGATGCTCTGGGTCCTTACTGGGGAGAAAGATGGGGTATAAATGAAGTAAAATTTTAAAAAATCCACTTATAATAAGCCTGAACTAGATACTAGATTTAGCTTGGGTTGTCAACTTTTTCCAGAAGGACTTCTGAGTCTTTAAGAGTTGTGTGGCAGAAAAACAGATGAAGGTTCTACTATCGATGTACCTCATTGCTGGGGAAAGCTGAACCTTTTGGATTTCTTCTATCACAAACCAATTAAAGGTTCAAGCATCCTGCTTAAAAAAAAAGATGGCAACACTGGTGACCATATCTAGGAGCTGATAATGGAAGAATCACAAAAAACAAACACTGTGACAATTCTTGTCTTCGGCTCCTGCCACACAGCAGGGGAAAAGCCTCTAAAGGCGCGGCTTTTAAAAGCCGCGCCAACGTTGAGACGCCGCGGCGGGATCCCACGGATCCCCTGGCCGCAGCGCCTTTTCTCCCCGGCACGATCAAACGCCGGGGAGAAAACACGGCCCTGACCGGGAGCCGGCCGAACTGCACATGTCGGAGCATGCGCAGTTCGGCTACGGGCCGGGGTTGTGCCGGCGCAAGGACGCGCCAGCGATCAAACGCCCGGCTTGCCACGCAGCTTCCCAATGAACCACCAAGGTAGGTGGTTGCAAGTTGCGGCGGATTTTCCCGGGAAAGGGCCAGTTCGGGGACGGAAGCAGGACGCTTCCCAGATGTTGTGGTGTGATCGCGCCGGTTTGCTCTGCCCCCGAACTGTCCCGCTCCCGGCCCAAATCGCCTAGTGTGAACGGGACCTTCCATAACTTTGGCAAAAGCCTGCTTTGTAAAACTGGTTCAAAGAAGACATCCCTGGTGGTAAGAAACACTGTGGAAACTTATAGACAACAGTCTTGCCACATACTCACCTTCATCCAAGGGCCTGTTTGTATCTGGAAAACAACAGATGAAATAGAATAAAACACTGGTGCCACATTTGTATACCACCATTTCTTATAAGGCACTTGAGGTAGTTTATAATTTTAAACAAACCAAAGAAGCTATAAAGAGCTCCCAAATAATTCTCTGCCATTGACAGTTCAGAAGCCAATGATATGAACTTGTAAGAAGAGCCCTACTGGAGCAGTCTGAAGATTCATTTAGTCCATCATCCTGTTTCCTGCAGTGACTGAACAGATGCCCTGAGAAAGCCAACAAATTGGGTGTAGAGACACCCATCAGTTGATTATGGGGCATACTACTTCTGATCATGGAGGCTTTGTTTTGCCCCCATACCTAATAGCAATTGATAGACATAGCCATGAATTTTTCTAATCATCTTTTGCAACCATTTTAGCCAGCTGTATTTTCTGGCAGTGAATTCCATAAGTTTGCTATGTGATAAAATACTATCTTTTGTCCATCTTGAATCTATTCTCTATCAACTTTTTTTGTCCCTGAATTCTAGTACTGTGGGGGAGAAGGGAAAATAGTCTCTTCACTTTTTTAACATCATATATATATATATATATATATAATTCCCTTACGTATTGGCCATTTCCAGCTCTCCCATTGGCTGTGCACTGTACTCCATCAGCCATTGGCCCATCAACTGCTACTCAAGAGTACTCGTGTGCCATTGGCTTGATACTGGGTCCACTCCTCTCCTCTCCACTCCTCTCCCTCGCCAGAGTTTGGGGAGGAGAGAGGCCTCAGCTGAATAGAATAGAGCCCACCCTCCAAAGCAGTTATTTTCTTGGGGGGGGAGAGATCTGTTGTCTGGAGTTCAGTTGTGATACCTAGCGATGTTCAGGCTCCACCTGGAGGTTGGCTACCCTACGTGTAGCAGTTAGCGCTTCAGAGCAGGGTCTGCCATGTCCAGGTTCTTGCTGTGGAAGTTGAGTGGGTGATTTCGGACCAGTCACAGACTTTCAGCCTAACCTACCTCACAGGGTTGTTGTGCAGATCAAAAGGGGGAGAGAATTATGTAAGCTGCTTTGGTCTCCACTGCGGAGAAAGACTGTACTTTTCCTCCTGGGGCACCATTGCTGCCAATCTCCTGATGAGGGCCAGAGAGCACTCAGAATTAAAACTGCTCTCCCGATGGTAGAGATCAGGGGCAGATAACGGTAGGTTGATGGTTGGCTGGGAAAGAGATAGGGTTGCCAGCTCCAGGTTGAAGCCTGAAGAGGGTGGGGTTTGAGGAGGGGTAGGACCTCAAATAGGTACAATGCCATAGACTCCACCCTCCAAACCAGCCATTTCCTGGGGGACCATTGCTGCCAATCTCCAGGTGAGGGCTGGAGATCACTCAGAATTAAAACTGTTCTCCAGATGGTAGAGATCAGTTCCCCTGGAGAAAATGGCTGCTTTGCTGGGTGGACTCTGTGTCATTATACACTGCTGAGATCGCTTGCCTCCTACTTCGGTACCCACTGTGGAGAAACTCTGTAGTTTTCCTAGATAGAAGCTGCAGGTGGGGGGAGGAGATGGAAAGCTGAAGTCAGAGGGGCAGATAAAGGTAGGTTGATGGTGGGCTGGGAAGGAGATAGGGTTGCCACCTCCAGGTTGGGAAATGCCTGGAGATTTGAGGGATGGAGCCTGGAGAGGGTGGGGTTTGTGGAGGGGTGGGACCTCAGACAGGTACAATGCCATAGAATCCAACCAGCCATTTCCTCCTGGGGAACCATTGCTGCCATTCTCCAGGTGAGGGCTGGAGATCACTCAGAATTAAAACTGCTCTCCAGATAGCAGAGATCAGTTCCCCTGGAGAAAATGGCTGCTTTGCAGGGTGGACTCTGAGTCATTATACCCTGCTGAGGTCACTTCCCCTCCTTCTTGGGTCCCTACTGAGAAGGAGAAAGACTGCAGTTTTCCTAGGTAGAGGCGGCAGGTGTGTGGGGGAGATGGAAAGCTGAAGTCAGAGGGGTAGATAACGGTACGTCGATGGTTGGCTGGGAAGGAGATAGGGTTGCTACCTCCAAGACAGGTACAATGCCATAGACTACCCTCCAAACCAGTCATTTTCTCCTGCAGAACCATTGTTGCCATCTCTTCAGATGGCAGATATCAGTTCCCCTGGAGAAAATGGTAAGCTCTGTGTCATTATACTGTGCTGAGGTCACCCCAGCAAATTGATGCTGAGTGCCCAAGACCAGGCACCCACCCAGAGCCTCTTTCTAGAGCTCGTTGTATTTATTTCCACAATGGGCCTTATTCCTAGTTATACATAATTTTATAAATCTATATTACATCCCTCTCCTTTTCATATCCTTTTCCTTAAAAGTAGACTTCTAAATTCTTTAGCCTTCCTTAGACAGAAGGTACTCCACCCCCTTGATCATTTTGGGCCCCGGTCACACAGGAGGATTTGCCCCGTGAAGTGGATGGGTTGAGGGCGCATCAAACGGGCCCGATCAGATGCCAACATCTGGCAAGTGTCGCGCACCCGCCCCCAACTCGTCCCTTCCGACCAAAAACGTGGATCAAAAAGGTACTAGGGAAAAGGTAGTACCTACCGGAAGATCCACAGCAGGGCCGGGCATAGGATCGCGGATGCACTGGCAGCCTGTGTTATTCGAGGGACTACTGGACTGTGCATGCGCGACTGACGAACTGCGCATGCACACAAATACTCCAGCAGACTCGGGTTGCCCGTCTTTGCCTTGCTTCCCCCGGCCATGTGATCACTCCGGACAGAATATGCGCAGCGGCTCAGGGGAAGCGTCTGATCCCAATGCCGCACTTTCCTTTGGTGTGGCTCTAAGAAGCCACACTTACGATGCGGCTTTTCCCGCCGGTGTGACCAGGACATTGGGTCCCGGTCACACGAGCGGGATACCACGCCACTGAAGGGAGGCAAAGTAGAGCTGGAGCAAAAAGAGCCACGGGAGCACGATCCAATGCTCCCCGTGGCTCCGTGCTTCGGCCTTCTGCTGGCGATCAGACATAGCGTGGCAAAATGGACGTTGCGTGTTTGTGCACATGCGTGGGACGGGGAACGGCGCTGGCTGCAACGGGCTACCAGCGCTTCCCTGACCAGACGCCTTCCATTGCCGCCTTCCAGTACCTACCAGTACTGGTAGGTACTGCTCTTTTGCCAGTACCTTTTTGATGCGCGTTTGTGGGCCGAAGAGACGGATCGGGGACGGGTGCACGCCGCTTTCCAGATGTTGCGTTGTGATCCTGCCCGCTTGATGCATCCCCGATCTGTCTCTCTTGTGGATCTAATCCTTCTGTGTGACCAGGGCCATGGTTACCCTTTTCTGCCCCTTTTCCAGATCTATGACAAGGGGGGACCAAAATCATACTTTAGAGCTTTGTTTATTCATGCATTACAATAAAATACTTTTAAAATAATGCCTAATGCAGAACCAGCCATTTATTGTGCTGCAGGTTATTTAACCAGTTACTAATCCACGAGAAGACACAACCCCTTATCACATGCCTTCTAAATTCTGAAATCTGTGGTAAGGGACTTTGCCAGAAGTTTTTTGGAATTCCATATATGTAGCATCTACTAGCTCACTCTTATCTGTAAGCTTGTTCATACTATCGAAGCACACCAAAAGCCTGATGAGGCAGAAAGCCAAATTGTTTCTTACTCAGTAGGGCTTCTAACTCTATAAGCTTAATAATTTTGTCTTAAATAGTGGTTTCTACCAAATGAGAAGGGAGCGCTCACTGGAGAAGATCCTGATGCCGGGAATGATTGAAGGTAAAAGAAAAAGGGGACGGCAAAGGATGAGATGGTTAGACAGTGTTATCGATGCAATGAACATGAAACTGAGCAAACAGTGGAGGATGACAGAAGACAGGAGGACCTGGCGTGATGTGGTCCATGGGGTCACGAAGAGTCAGACTCAACGGTGCAACTGAACAACAACAACAAAACCTATTTACCTGGAACAGCCAATAGACTAAAAGTTCTAGAATTTCCTAAACCCCACTTGAATCCTCAAGATTTGAACCAGTAGTTTCACATTTGGCTCTTGAAAAAGACCTTAGAGTGTATACTATCTGAACCTCGTGACTTGTTAAGTTTTAACTTGTCAATTAATCACTGGACTTTATCTCTTGTACCCTATTTGATTCAGTCCCTTAGACACCCTCCCTGAAAACAGTGGTTCTAGCAATGGAAACTGTCCAGAGTGTTCCATAGTGAAGATCTATACTGATTATCCATTCCCACTTCTTTGCCATTTCCCCATAAACCTTCAGAAATCCTGTCACTTCTTTGTAGCCTATTGACCTAATTAGCTCGCTGGCTGTTTTCCTGTGCCTGAGGTATCTGCAGCCATTCTTACTGTTGGTCTTTTTAAAGCAAATTGTTGATACAATTGCCTCACTGTTGATTTTCATTTATTTTGACACAGTCCATGTGTTCCTTGTTTTTATTTAGACATCTCTGTGTTTTAAAGAAGAAGAAGAGCTGGTCTTTATACCCCGCCTTTCTCTACCCTAAGGAGTCTCAAAGGTGCTTACAATCATCCTCCCTTCCCTCTCCCCACAAAAGGCACCTTGAGAGGTAGATGGTGCTGAGACAGTTCTGAGAGAACTTGTAGTGTCCGCTGACCGCCACCGGAGGCCAGCGCACACGCCTGAGCTTCAGTCTGGGACAACAATGGGGACTAGGATCCTAGTCCCTCCACTGGGGAAATCAATGGGAACCGTGGCGGGAAATTCAAACCCGCCAATGGGACCCAGGGGTGGTCCCCTGGCTGTGTATATAGTTGGCCTGCCGGCCGTTTGTGGGAGTGTCTTGTTGTGTACCTAATAAAGTGTGCTATGCACTACGTCGTCGTCTGTCGTTCTTCCATGCGGCAACCCACTACATAACAGTGGCGACGAAGGTGGGATACCGCCGCATCTGAGCCGGGCCGTCGCGAGGGACCAGGAGAACCCGAAGCAGCCGATCCGATGAGCGAGCCGGCCAGCGAGACCGCTTCTCCCG